CTCTTTTTTTAACTTTGTTTATTTATATATAGGGCTGTGAGTACTTATGGAAACTGAGCCGTCACAAGCTGAGCACGGAGGAACTAGCTACCTTGCAGGTGCTGGCCAGCATTCTGTTTCTGCTGCCGGACGAGGTTCTTGTGGTGCGTAATGCCCGCGAAACGCTGCTGCGCAAATCATTTAAGATACCCAGTGCCTCGCTGGAGCCGATGCTAGTGCATTACTTTAGCCAGAATCTGCTCGAGTTCTACGAAATGGGCCGGCATATTAGCTCATTTAAGTTCCTAATAACCATATCCAAGTTTATAGCCAGCAAATGCGCCATGGGCAAGGCGGTGGCTGTGTGCCTCATGTGGAGCATTGTCTTCGAAATCGCCGGAAGCAGCATTATAATACACCAGCATCGCGACGTAAGCTAAATTGGATCAATCCATCTGTACTTCTGAACCTCACTTCATAACATCTACTTCCATCCACTGGCGCAGCTGGGTGAGCTATGCAGCATTCTGGACCAAGTGCCACTGGCGAACACTCCAATCGATCGCTTCTGCATTTTGCTGCAAACAGTGGGCGTCCTTCTGCATTTTATGCTTTGTGGCAACTGGTTGCAGGAGTTCCTGTCCTATGGATATCCATTCTTCTACTTTCGATTTCTGCCAGGGGATTGCCGCAATCTGCAGGCATGGGTTAACCAGGCTCTGCTGCTCTATAAAGTGCGCCTTCCGGATGCCACGCAGCGCATCCAGTGTGGGGCAAAAAAGCTGCTCGCTTCACTAGAGTATCTCACTAACAACTCGGCGGAATGGTGCCTCGCATGCCGCAGTGGCTCCGATAGGAAGACCCAGGTCTGCGTTCTAGGCGACATAGGCAACAGTAAATAACATATTCACATGCTTTATTGTCGAAGCATACTCGTTGTCGATTCCATTAGCAACTAAATAAACATCGACAAGGCCTTGCATCCATTTCAAATCTTAAAGTTTCTACGCCAAGCCACACATCAATTTCAAATACGTATACGGATACGTAACACACACTATTTATACCAAACGTGCTCATTTAGAAACCATTTAGGGAAGCACGCTGTAGAGATTAACTTTCAGTGGAATTGGATATCCGCTGAGTCATCGTCACAAGTACCGACATCATGGACTGCCAGGACAAGGACCCTGCAGAGGAGCCCACCACAGCTGGGGAGAAGACCACCATGAACACATCAATGACAACGGATTCAGCATCGATCGATGAGCTCTTCGATTTTATTCGGGAAGCCCCCATTGGCGACAGAAACGAGCCAACAGCCAGTGCCAGCGACCATACCATAACCATGAGCGAAAGTGAGGAGCCTACGGCTAGCTCCTCATTCACCGTTCCCTCGGTCGATGTCCCAAGCAACGAGGGCAACAACAGCTTGGTGGCTGTTGTCCAGCGCAGCGAGTTCGCCAAACTTTTGATGCGCCTGGGCGAGGAGGGAGACGGCGATGCGAACCAGATTGTAATAGAGCTTCTCAACTCCAAGAAGCAAGCGGAGAAGGCCACATCGGTGATCGAGCGCGTATCGGAGAACCTTATGCTCGTGCTGCGCACCCAGACTCTAGCCGAAGCGGGCATTATAACAGGCAATGAGCGCTATCGCTCCTTTAAGTCTGTCCTACAGAACTATGCCAAGCTCTACGCGGCTAAGCGATTCATTGAGAAACTCCCTATGCTGGGACTATCGCCACAGTCGAGCCAGGACCACGGTCAGGATCAGAATGAGAACGACAAGACACTGGCTCGCATGGTGGCCGACGAGGTACTGCAGATACCCGAACTACTACGCCAGCTCTGGGCCTCCCTCGAGAAAATGGAGTTCTTCAACGAGGACACTGCCTACAAAGTTTACTTGGAAGCTCGCCGCCATCCCCAGGCAAAAATTCTCCGTGAACTGATGTTAACCCGCATATCGCGTGTCTACCTCTGCATTGTCAGCTCTGCATCCTTCCTCGACTTTAGCGAGCACGAACTAATCCACGTGCTCAACAACTGCTACCTCAGCGTAAACTCCGAGATAGAGGTGACTACAGAATTACCTAGGTGGCTGGAAGTGGCACATTTATTTTCATCTCACCTTCTAGATATTCCTCTCGGTCATACTCTGGCTGGAACACAATTGGTACGAGCGCAAGAGCTGCGCTGAGCGAGTCTTGAGTGGGGTCCGATTCGGCCTGATGCCCACCTGGTACCTTTATACCCTGGATAGAACAAATCGTTGCAATCACTTTGCCAAGGTTATCTACAGTAAGGGTGTGCAAGCCCTCCTAGAAAAGGGACTGGAGTAAGTACATTTTTGACTCAACTATCTATCGCTTTGTTCATTGAATATATTTATTCCATTACAGGGAAGCTTTGGCCTTGCGTTATAAAAACACGCGCGCCACCACCTCCAATGATATAGAGATGCCTTTGCCTCGTGACTGGGTTGCCGATCCCGAGTGCCGCCATCATCACAAGTGCCATTGCGAGCGATTTATCTATCCGACATATGACGTATTCAAGGACTACCTGGCCAGGATCATACGATCCGCACCGAACTACTGGCGTACTCTTCGACCTGCTCAGGAAGTCTACCGGAAGGTACTCAAATGCTGCGCACCCCCCTACCAGACACAGCGACGAACCTAACCATATCGTTGACATCAGTTGTCTTATCTCTCTACACCAATCATAATAGCTCCCAAATTTATTGTTTTATCTATTCTGGCGTGCTTAACTGCAAATCATTTTTAAGTGTTGAATAAAGGTTGGAATAAGTTGGGAGTCGTTACATTGTACAAGCTCAATTTCTGGGATTGTTTGTTAAAGAAGGTACCCACTCTGGATACTAAAAAGCTATGAAGTTAATAAAATCAAAAGTGAAAAATACTATTTACGTGCGTTTGGAGTCGATCCTCCATTTAGCGTTAAATCTACATAATTACCCGTGATCCAAATTAAGATTTATATATAAATGTAAAGACAAGAGTGGACTTTGAAAATTGCATGGCCGTTATTGCATCCTTTGGGTTAACGGACTTAAAAGCAACTTTGACATTTTCAAACATTTATTAAACACTTTAAAATGATTTGCGGTTAAGCATGCCAGAACGGATAAAACAATAAATTTAGGAGTTATTGTCATTGGTGTAGAGATATGAGACAACTGATGTCAACGATATGGTTAGGTTCGTTGCTGTGTCTGGCAAGGGGGTGCACAGCACTTGAGTACCATCCGGTAGACTTCCTGGGCAGGTCGAAGAGTGCGCCAGTAATTCGGTGCGCAGCGTATAATCCTGGCCAGATAGTCCTTGAATACGTCATATGTCGGATAGATAAATCGCTCGCAATGGCACTTATGATGATGGCGACACTCGGGATCAGCAACCCAGTCACGGGGTAAGGGATTTTCTATATCATTGGAGTTGGTAGCACGAGATTTTTTGTAACGCAAGGCCAAGGCTTCCCTGTAATGGAATATATTCAATGAACAAAGCGATAGATAGTTGAGTCAAAAATGTACTTACTCCAGTCCCTTTTCTAGGAGGGCTTGCACACCCTTACTGTAGATAACCTTGGCAAAGTGATTGCAACGATTTGTTCTATCCAGGGTATAAAGGTACCAGGTGGGCATCAGGCCGAATCGGACCCCACTCAAGACTCGCTCAGCGCAGCTCTTGCGCTCGTACCAATTGTGTTCCAGCCAGAGTATGACCGAGAGGAATATCTAGAAGGTGAGATGAAAATAAATGTGCCACTTCCAGCCACCTAGGTAATTCTGTAGTCACCTCTATCTCGGAGTTTACGCTGAGGTAGCAGTTGTTGAGCACGTGGATTAGTTCGTGCTCGCTAAAGTCGAGGAAGGATGCAGAGCTGACAATGCAGAGGTAGACACGCGATATGCGGGTTAACATCAGTTCACGGAGAATTTTTGCCTGGGGATGGCGGCGAGCTTCCAAGTAAACTTTGTAGGCAGTGTCCTCGTTGAAGAACTCCATTTTCTCGAGGGAGGCCCAGAGCTGGCGTAGTAGTTCGGGTATCTGCAGTACCTCGTCGGCCACCATGCGAGCCAGTGTCTTGTCGTTCTCATTCTGATCCTGACCGTGGTCCTGGCTCGACTGTGGCGATAGTCCCAGCATAGGGAGTTTCTCAATGAATCGCTTAGCCGCGTAGAGCTTGGCATAGTTCTGTAGGACAGACTTAAAGGAGCGATAGCGCTCATTGCCTGTTATAATGCCCGCTTCGGCTAGAGTCTGGGTGCGCAGCACGAGCATAAGGTTCTCCGATACGCGCTCGATCACCGATGTGGCCTTCTCCGCTTGCTTCTTGGAGTTGAGAAGCTCTATTACAATCTGGTTCGCATCGCCGTCTCCCTCCTCGCCCAGGCGCATCAAAAGTTTGGCGAACTCGCTGCGCTGGACAACAGCCACCAAGCTGTTGTTGCCCTCGTTGCTTGGGACATCGACCGAAGGAACGGTGAATGAGGAGCTAGCCGTAGGCTCCTCACGTTCGCTCATGGTTATGGTATGGTCGCTGGCACTGGCTGTCGGCTCGTGCCTGTCGCCTATGAGGGGTTCCCGTATAAATTCGAATAGGTCTTCATCACTGCTGAGCTCATCGATCGATGGCGTTGGCGTTGGCATGGGTGTGTTTATTAGGGTCTTCTCGTCGTCAGTAGTGGGGACCTTATCAGGGTCCTTGCCCTGGCATTCCATGTTGTTGTGGTTTCAAATGCTGGCTCGAAGGGTGTCCAGTCTTGATCGCGACAGCGATCGCTATTCTTGGACAAGTGTGGGAGGTCTATAAATGGGTTCTACTTACTTATTCGTTTGTACACGAATACTTTGTGTTTGATAATGGTTTAAATTGACATTTGTTACAGCTGCTCTCATGGACTACTGGGACTTTATTTTTGTGTATTCGATATAAAAAAGCTAAACGGGCTACTAAATCCGCTAAACAAACATGTTTACAATGTCTGGTTCCTATCCCCCGGCCGTAGCGCTGCTCAAGCTGCCCTCGCTCATGTGGAATTGTATCAAAATGATGAGATACGTGGTTGTGGCACCAACAATCTGCAATGAATTGGAAAGTCAATTAACAGTCAAGCCCGAGCCACGCCCACTCACAGTGTAAAGCAACGTGCAGTCCACATCAAAAAAGCCCGCTGCGCTGAAGTGTAGTCGCTGATGCAGCAGCTGCAGGGAGAACTGGGTGATCTGTGAAGCAGATTTCGGAGTTATTACGGTCTGTATGGAGATAGAAGTGGGGGTGAGCAAGGATCGACTCACCAGTGCATTGTGGCTGTCATTCTGGAGATCCACGCGGATGTGATGCAGACTCAAGGCAAGCCGCGTTGTCTGCAAGCGAAAAACAGTACGAGTTAAGTGCCAGTGGACGCACAGGTGCCGCCTGCTACTCACAAAATAAGCGGCTCGTTCGCATATAAGAGCCAGAAAAAGAACGTTGCCCAAATGCGGTGCAGACCAAAGGGTGCTGCCTACAATTTGCAGGAAATCGTAGGGCGAGGCGGCAAACTGGCGAAAGTTCAAGAAGATCCAATAGCAGTTGGAGGTGATGGCCAGAAAGTCGTTGCCCAAGTTGACCAGTATGGAGAGGCCATAACAGCGATTCAGCAGGGCGACCAATAGCCAGAGGCGCTGATACAATTTTCTGGCGGCCAACAGACGCTGCATGCAAGCCGCCGCCAGCGCCTCCATTTCGAGCTCCTCCTTTATGGACTTGCACACAAATGGCTGCGGCTGCTCCGCCTCGTTCAGCTGCAGGGACTCCAGCAAGCGCAGCATCATCTCCAGACGGTGGTGCACAATCTGGACGGCCGTGTAGATCTGAAAATAGCGCACGCCACAGACCAGCAGCGGCAGTAAATAGCACAGCCAATAGGTCATAAAGTGGCTATCCGGCGCAAGCATTTTGGTAAACAATATGAAGAGCTGGCTAACCAAATAGCCGGACAGCATCCACAGTGCTCGGCGGTTCATTTGACTTCGCAATTGGCCATTCTCCAGATCCAGATGCAGCACATTCGCGAATTCACGGTCGATCTCGCGCAGCTGCGCGAAGAAGCGGCCCTGCGCTTGACGCTGCAACAGCGCCTCCAGAAGCGCCGTTGCGTGAGCCACACGTATGCCCACCAACTGTATGGAGTCTACCGTGTGGCCAATGTTGGTGGTTTCATTGGACTCGCCATCGGCAGTGCGACTCTCATTAAACAAGCCGTATAGAAGATAGCCCGTGGACAGCAGCAGCACCACACAGCTGTAGGCCTCCAGCCAGCGGGAACGTTGCAGCTGCCGTGTGGCAGTATCCAAGCGCCACTGCCACAGGTTGCACAGCTGGCCGATACGCTGCAGTGGCGCCAGTGCGTCCAAAATGTCCATGCCAAAATGTTTGATTTGAACTTCAGTGAGGTTGCCTCAATTATAGCCGCAGGTATTCGATAGATAAAGCACTAATCTAATCAGTTAATTGCAATACAATGCGCATCAATTATAATTATTATCTGGACTTGCAAAATCTTTAACCAAACACTAACTAGGCAAATTGAGCTGAACGAGAAACCAGATGCATAACAAGCTAATAATCCAGACAACATCTAGTTATGGCTGTACTTCAATTGCAATGCTTCCATGCCTGAATGTGCCAAGGTCCGCTTGGCGACTGGACGTCTGGAATACTAGCATAAAGGGAGCAGCCTGCAAAACTGTCCGCGCTCTCATCAATCATTATCAATGGGAATTAACGCATTTCAATGTCAACAAGCTAAAGTGCTGACTGTGCATATATCAAGTTTGGCAGATAAAAAGGTGAGTCGAGGACAGACTTTCGTCAGCAAAAGCTGAATCCGTCTGTGGGTGTAGCCTAAGGTTGAACTTGTGCTGAAGGTAGGCGCCTTCTCGACCATCGACTTTCTGATTAACAGGCTGATAATCAAGGCTGCAAGCCCAACAGATATGTTCGGTTCGCGGTTCGGGAAAGCAGTCTTTCAGCCCAAGTTCAAAACTAGGTTCTCACGTCCTTACAATTTTCACTACAACAATGCTTGTTTAAGGCTCGGTTCATATTAAAAAACTAAGTATAGGGATCGGTTGCACTGTGTTCGTCGTCAATCGGTGGTGGAGGTGTGCCGGTTCTCATCAGGTGATCCGTCATGCTACGGGGAACAACCCAACTAATTTAGATTTAACCCAACTGATGATTGAAATGAAACACATTGAAATTTCACATAAATACCTTTATTATAATTTTAAGATTTTTCTTTTGAAATAGATCTTGAGATAAGCTTGATTTGACTTTTTCATAAAATGTAATACATATATGTACTTTTTTGTTTTGTTATATTCGTTTTATTCTTTGGATTTTTGTAATTTTCAAATTTTGCATTCCTTCTGGTTTTCAATTAATTTCGTTTCCTATGTTTGAGTGTGTAAGTGTGTGTGTGTGTGTGTGTGTGTGCTATAATTTTGTTTGCAACATTTTCTTTGTGCTTGCTTTCGCTTCTTTCTTCTGCTTTCCTCCATTTTAGCTTCCTTCCTAGTTAGCAGCACTATTTGTAACTTTGTGCACGCACTTAAATTGGATCTGAATCCATATTTATCTGTATCTGTATATGTGTATGTGTATTCCTCTTTATCGAATATAACCCACTGCATTAGCTCTTATAGCGATATTTAATTTTGCATTTTCCTGCTGTGTATTAATTATTTTCTGGGTTTTCTTTTTTCGTTTTTTGTTTTTCTTAACAATTTTCTGCATGCATTTTGCTTTTACTAATGATTATATAGTAGTCAAATATATAGATACACATATATATGTATGCATGCATATAAATTTAAGTATATTTGATTTAAATAGAAGCTGCTAATAGTTTAAAGCAAATTCAACAAACAAATTCGTCGTATTCTTTGTTTTTTTTTTTTTTTTGGTACATTCAATACTTTTGCATATATATATAATACGTTAATACGTTTTATTCTTTGGTTAAGGCAATGGATACATAATAACTGATTTCCTGATTAACTGATTTCTCAGCTGAAAAATTAACAACGAACATTTAAAAACATTTGCGAGTTAACACAACACAGATCAATTTAGCTTTTCTGGGAACTGTCAAGCAGTTTTTCAGTTTTTCAGTTTTTCGGCTTAACTCATGTGAAGCAAAAAATAATTTTGGGTCAGAAAATATTTACTTTGAGCTTACAAGCAAACATTCATACATTCAAGTTTATAGTGTATATATGTCGTTTATGCATTTTAATATATATTTTGTGTGTATACGTATGTCTATAAGTATTTCTTTCTTGTATTTGGTTTTCTTTTTGCTTTTATTTGGTTTAAGCGGAAACGTTTTTTGAAAATTAATATGCAAGTGTAGCTCGTATTCGTTTAACTCTACCAAGTAGCCATACACATTCGAATGGTGGAAAGTGTTAGTTCACGGCGATATAGTACATATATGTAGACAATTTGCCCATGAACGCCAAATACCAACCATTCTCTCTGAGATCTTAATCATTTGTGTTTAGCACTAGTGCACGGTTACTTGGTATTGATTTGTTGTCTGCACATTAGAAGGAAATTTACGAGACACTCATACGATTAATTCTCTTCGATATATGGTAATTCTTAACTTGTTCTTGTTGAGAGCTCGGATTTGAAATCAAATGTTAAAGTACATTTAGTTTCTTAATATTAGTTTATCATAAAAAAAAAAAAAAACAATGGATTAATTGTTCAATTGAATAGTGTTAGCTTCTTTTGTTTTTAACTAATTGTCTTTTATATAATTCAATTATTTATAAAATAAGTTTTTATGGTGCTTGTACCATTAATTTTGTTTATAACTTTTCAATGCCTTTCAATTACATATTATATATTTAAAATTTTGTTTATAATTTGTAAATCCCTGTCTAAAGCTGTCTGCTAGTAGTCATAAAATAATTTCCATTTTTTGTTTTTATCACTTTATATCATATACATACATACATAAATATGTAGAGTATTTTCTTTGCAGCTGCTTAAATGATAAACTTTTTATTCACGTTTTAGTCAAGCACAAATCAAACCAAAATCAATTAAATATTGCTATAGAATGATTCATTTGCTAACGATAATAATCACACAAAAAAAAACCTATCACATGCGCGTTTGGATCCTTCGAAAGTAAATGATCGTTATTTAATTTAATTGCTTGAATCGTTTGTGTATATATTTTTAGAGTGTGTTTTGTTTTTTTGTAATTTTTAATTTGTTAATTTTTAATTTCTATTTTGCTTGTTGCTTATCAAACTTTTGTAGACTGGACGGTAGCCAGTTGTTTGTAGACTGTTGCGCCTGGTTGTTCTTGTTCTTGTATAAAAAGCAACTGAAAATATATTCATATATATAAATATGTATATGCATATATTTTAGTTGTTAAAACTGCAAATAATAATATAATATATATATATATATATATATATATATATATATATATATATATATATATATATATATAATCCTTGAATTCATTATGTTAAGCTTGCGCTTTTTAAAAATCGGCTTTATATATGTATGTATATCCTAAAAAGTCTGTATGACAAATATCAATTTGTAATGCAATCAAAAATTGTTATTTAAATATGTTTTTCATTTAATTGTTTTCTCTCTTTTATTGGACTGTCTGACTGACTATTAATTGCAGTGGCTTCAAAATATGCTTGAGTTTTATAATTTGTCTTTTTTATTATATATTGCGCGTGCCTTTTTCGTTATTCTTTTCTTTTGTTTTTGTTATCTTGTCATTTGTTTTTTGGGATTATTTCATTAAGGGTTTTTTTTTTTGGTTTTAGTTTCCATTTTCTTCAAATTTGTTATTCTATGACTATGAAAAGGTAAAAAAAAATATAGAAAAATAACCTTCATTCACTTTGTGTTCATCATTTAGTTTTGTTTCACAATATCTGGTTAAATGACACCCTACCCCATGACACCCTATCCCATGCTAACCCAATCAGACCCTCTCGTAAACCTTATATAGTAATATCAGCATTAACACTATCGCATCAGCAACTCTATCATCAACAACAGCAATCAGTATTTATCATTCAAAGTTAACCCCACTTAACACACTTACATTCGTTTATATATACGTTATGTATATATCAAGCCCATGAGTTTCAAACTTGTCCAGCGAAAACATAAAGACACAGACCCAGGTCTAGCTCAACAATGCGACGCTTTCAATTCATTCAATTTCTCCCAGACTTTGGTATTATTATTCCTGGTTCTATATGAGTGTACGTATATCATTTTGCGTGTTTGATCTATAGTTAATTCATTTTTGGATTATATATTATTATTTTGTCCCATTGGTATTAGGTAAGTCTTTCTGCAACCTGCAAGAACAATTAGCTAACTAAAAGATCAAAACAAAATGGAAATATTGAAACGAAAATTATACAATTAAGTGTATTTAATTTGATATTTAGCATTTGATATATGATATTTCATACTTAAGACTTTTGTATTGTTCATTTGTTTGCATTTTGGGGAGGCACATTTATTTAAGGTTTCGTATTATTTCCATGCTTGGTTCAATATTTATTTGTAGCTGTTCGATTAGACTTTTAATTAACATTACATTTTTATATACGTCGTGATTCGTATTAAATTCATTTGTTTTTTGTTTTTAGCTAAATACTTAGTTATATTTCTCGTTATTATGCTTTAACAATTTGTGTGTGCATTTCGTAATATTGGTTTGCATTTTAGTTTGTTATTCACTTTGAACAAAAAAAAAATATTTTCATTGATCATTTGCATGGTATATCTGCGTTATGATTTAGGCGTGTGTTGTAGTTTTAGAGCTAAGTAAATACTAGTAGTAGTACAATATGGTTTCGCCTTCTTTCGGCATACACATATATGTATTAATGTATATATATATATATATATATTTTTTTAATTTAAAATTCAAGTTTATGAGATTCTTCAATAGTTTGTTCATAAAAGTTTTACTAATACAAGAAACATGAATAATATTTGTAATATACTTAGCATTTTCGTAACCTTTTTGTTTTTTTTTTTGAGTTTTTTTGTGGGTTTCTTATAATTTTTTCTTTTTGTATAATTTCCTTTTGTATATTTTTGCTATGCGGTTTTGAAAACAATTTTGATCTTTGGATTACTATGCAAGGTAGCTTGACGTTTAATGAAAGCAACAAATACATAAACATTATATATATTTATGGGATTTTACGTTTGTCTTTGTATATATTTTTTTCTGGCACGTAGCGCTTCTTTGGAAAGTTTAATGTTAGTGTTTTTTTTTTTTTTTTTGCATTGTTCGGTAATTAATTGTTGAAAATTAATGTATATTAATTACCTTGCTTACTGCATTTGGAAAAAAATTAACAAAAAGCATAAATAGACGGCATTGGCAAACAAAATGGCGTCATCCAAGATGACCCGTTACTCCGCCATATTCAGCTTTTTGTTTGTTCTTCATTTCCGAAAGTGTTTTTTCTTAGCTTTTCGTTGGCGCACGGCATTTTGCGTATTGCATTTTGTTGTTTCTTTTTTTCGTGTCAAGTTTTGTTTCCAGCTTTAGTCGCAATTTGTGTTTTTGTCATTTTCGTTGTGTGTTTCTTGTATGTTTTTGAAATTTGTGTCGTCATCGTTAAGCTCAAAAATTGAAAGTCGTCTTGTGTGAGTGTGTGTCTGTGTGTGTGTGTGTGTGTTGATTGCTGTTGTTAGCCCCATTAAGGTTTACAAGGGGGACGCACTCAAATCGCTGTCAGTGTGGTATAAGATATTTGAAATAATTGTTTTTTTTTTTTTTTGTTTTTTGTAGATTTTAGTCGTCATCGTCAAATGCAATAAACAAGCCCGTGGCCTAGAACTCTAAGCGATATGCGGAGCACGAGGTCTCATGATCCTGCAAGTTAATTGTGCAACGCGAAGCAGATGGTGACAGATCAATGCGGTGCTTGGCAAGCAGCTCCTCATTCTCGGCTACCCAGTAGCCCAACACGTCGGTATCATATGTTGGTATAATGGTTACCTCTGCAAAATGTGAGAATGGTCGCTAAAGTTCCTTTTCTATATGAATATAACTGATTTACTCACCTAGCTCCTTGTCTTCCCAGGTTTGTTTGGCCTCCAGTAGGGCATCGTAGACCTGACGGCTGGGCTCGGTGCCAGAGAAGACATAGTAGCGAGCACGGACACGCTTGAAGAAGTCGACGTGTGCATAGTAGGAGTTGCCATTGTGCGGCACGTAGGTAAGATCCACATAGACAGGTGCGGGCTTCTTCGCCTTGTTGGGTGATTCGCTACGCTTGCGGAGATTCTTTTCATTGTTCAGACGCGTCTTGGTGGCCACCAAGCGACGCTCCTTCTTGGGCGTGGTGCGTATATCGGTGCCTTCGACCGGCAATGGTGCCGGTGATGGCAGGCCGAGTGGCTTGCCCCACTCCTCAAGACGATCCTTTGGCAGGGTGCCGGTTGTGCTGCTTGTGCTAGTTGTTGTTGCAGTTGCTGCGGTTGTTGTTGTTGTTGCTGCTGTTGCTGTTGCTGTTGTCACTGCGCTGCTGCTGTCAGCGCCAGTGGTGGTTGCAGTGCTGGCAGATGCACCGCCAACAGAGGGGCTTGAAGTGCCGAAGCTCACCAAGAGATTGTCGCCGCTGCGTACCTTCTGGACATCACTGAGGGGGAAGCGCTGTCGCTCGGCAGTGCCGCTGACAATCTGCTCGACCTCCTCGGCCTTGGATGGTGAGTAGGAATACTTGGCGGTCACGGAAGACATTACTTCGGCGCCGCGAGCCTGTACGTGCTCCTCGAGTGCCTTTTGGAAGTCCTTGTCGGCCTCATCCAGGAACTTGTGTCCGGCCCAGGTTTGGCTGGTGCTCTCCACACTCTCGGATGACTGGCTGGCTGGTGGTGAGTCAGTGTAGGTCATCAGTATGGCACCCCGTATAGGTATTGGCTCAGTGCTGGGCTTGGCATCAAAGCTATCGGGAAGTGCGCCATAAAAGGAGGTTGCCATGGGATCGGCTGCGCGGGGCTGCAGAATGGCGCGCGCAGTGGAATGCTCTTCGCTACCGTACTGCGGCGGTATATCATCTTGGCTGTCATCGCCATCGAGATCAGAGCGCTTGCTTATGCCAGAGCTGGAGTGCTGCAGATCGTAGCTAGCGCTACGTGGCGTGCCAGGCAGCTCATCGTCACTCATGGCACCAGCCAAACGTTCATCATCACTGCCGGGCGTGCTGGAGCGATAAATGCCGCGTAGCATGGCTACTTCCTTGGGCAGGATTTGATCGCGTTCGCTTTTCTCGCTTTCGCTGGTTGTGCGAGTGGTGGTGACCACCACTTTCTCGCTGTCTGGCTCTGAGCTGTCGGTTGTGGTGACTGTCTTTTGTTCAGTCACAATCTCCTTGCCATCGGCAGAGATGACCTTGGTAACTGTCGTTATGGTTGTCGTTATGATCTTTTCAGTGCTTCCGCTGAGCGCTGTGGTGCTCTCAATGCCGCGCAACTCGTGCAGCTCGGGGAGCAGATCACTGGAGTCGGCGCTGATCTCACTTGCATCGGGCTCCGCTGTTACACCTAAGGACTTCAGCTCGTCCTTGCTGACCCGCGGGAAAGGAGAAGTGGGCTTGGGAGATGACTCTGGCGTCTCGGTGTGCGACTCACGCCCTAACGGTGTTGGTATGGATTGACTTTCAGATGTTAATGCACCAGGACTAGACTTACCACTAATGTCTTTGGGCGACAATGGGCCCGATGTTGATGCTATACTGGCAGCGCTAGATTCGCTCTTGGCGCAACTAGAGCCCGTGGCCGCGGTGCTTGTGATGCTTGTGGTGCTTGTGGTGCTTGTGGTGCTTGTGGTGCTCACCGGCTTAACGCTGGGACTGACCGGTGCTGTTGGCGGTGTCTTGCGATCTGTGCTGTCAACTGCTTGCTCACCTTGTGTTTGTGTTTGTGACAGTGTAATGGACTCGACTTTTGTCTTTAAGTCTGTCGAGCTAGTTTTCATGGTGGTGCTGCTGATCTGTTCGCTGGATTGCAGTAGTGTGGTTGTTTTAGTGGTTGTGTCTGTAAGGGAAGTAGTCGATTTTGTCTCCTTGGGTGCCTTGTCGTGATCATCCTGTTTAAGCTCCTCCTGATCTTCATGCTCGTCTTCTTTAAGGGCGTCAATCGTGTCAAGCTCCTCGGAGGGCTTGTAGATGCTGGTCATCATGATGGTGGCAATGGACTTGGAACGAGCCTCTTTTAGACTGGCGTGTCCATCATCATCACTATCCTCCTCGGGGTCGCTGTGCGTTTGCCGACCCTCGCTGGTCTGACTGAGCATCGATTCACGCCGGGATTCGTCTGTGCCAACAAACAAAGGCTTCTGAGATGAGGTTACACTGGATATCTTCTTCAGACACTCATCAGTTGTTTTGGTGGCCTCAGCGCTGAATGTTTCTTTGGCGGCAATTATTTTCTCTGTAGCCAAGAATTCTGCTACCGTTTCCTTGAGGCTGTCCTTGACTGACTCCTGAACAGAGGTGCTTGTGGTTTCCTTGCTTGTGCTTTGACCACTTGACTTTTGGGTGCTCGAAGTTTGAATCTCACTGACTATAGACTCCGAGGAGCATTCTTCGGATTGAATGAGCAGCTCCTCCACTTCTGAAGCTGTTGTCTTCTCCATAATCTTTGTAATACGTTCATTTTCCTCCTTGACGCTAGTGCTTGCAGATTTGGTGGTTTCTTTATCGGTCAGCAAGCTTGATAGAGACTCCCGTCTCGAGCTGTCCTCCACCTTCATGCTGCTACTTAGGGATTCGCTCATAGATTCTTCTTTTAGATTCATTTCATTTATAACTGACTTGGAGGTGGTTGTTGATTCGCTCGATTTCTCTTCCTTTTTGCTTTCCATTATCGAGACCAGATTTGAATCGCGCTGGGAGTCGGAAGTCTCTTCATCCTTGGTGCTGATACGACTAGCACCTGATGCTGGTCGCGAAGATATTGGCTCCCCCTCTACTGATTCCGGGCGGGGGCATTCCTTGGTCTTTTCACTGGCCTGACTGGCAGCGGATCCTGGACGAGTTACATCTTTAGATGCTGTGGCGGAAACATCTAGTTTTGCCGATCCAGCTACTGATATTGATTCGCGTCTAGAGTCAGACTCAATGCTGCCGGCTTCCTTTTCACTTATATGGCTTGCAATCGACTCGTGTCTGGCAATGTCTTTTGCTGGAGTTGTGGAACTTTCATCTTTGTGCTCGGATTCCTCTTTTAAACTGGCCACTGATACAGGCCGTGATATTTCCCTTGACAAATCTAAGGAATGCTCCGGTTTTTCCTCCCCTTTTTGGCTTGCTACGGACTCGGGGTGAGATGGTAATGATTCTAGAGGTCCCGACTGGCTTGTAGCTGATTCTGGCCTGGAACTATCCTTAGCTACTTCAAAGATAGCAACTTTTGCAGCTCCTTCTTGCAGTTGTGCCTTTTCAGACTGCTCAATTTTGTCCTTCTCTTCAATTGAAATGGGCCCAGACTTTTGATCTGGTGATGACTTTTCTGATTCAATATCTACTTTCATCATTTTCATATCTAATATCTTTTCATCTAAGGCAAGATCCGCTGTTGGAGTTATTTTACCCGATAGAGGTTCAGGTAAAGTCGTTTTCTGTAAATCCACCACTTCAATTTCAGCTGTAGTTTTGAGTTTTTCCTCCAATTGCTCCTCATTGAACCCAGGTATTATATCTGTAATAGCTTTATCTGACTTCAAAACCTTGGCTACATTGGCAACAATCTTGGCAACCTCTTCTTCACGTGGCGAGAGGGGACGCATTGGTTGCTGTGGTAGCAAAGCTCCCTTTTCGGTCGGTGGCGAAAATCTATGCTCCTCGTCCTCTTCTTTTATATCATGCAGAATACTCTCATCACGTTCGCAAATAGTGACTTTAAATTCGGGTGAATCCACTGTGGTAATGTGTGTTTCACGAAGCTCTGAAAAACCACTCAAGTCAAGGTTGCCTTTGGCACTGGCATCTTCAGGCATATCGGTGGCAGGTTCTATAATTGAACTTGCCTGAGCCAACTTTTGAGATAATACCTCCGAAGTCGACAACACTTTTTCAATAACTTCGTGCTGTTTCTCTTCCGCGATAGTTGCTGTTTTGGAAATCTCAATGACCTTTGAATCCTTAAGAGCTTCAATGTCCGTTAAAGATTTTGAACTTTCCGTTGTTATTTGCTCCAAGGACTCCACTACAAAATCTTTAGCGCTTTCCAGTTTATGGCTTACTGTATCAATTACAGTTTCTGCTTTTTGGCTTAGCGGCTCGGTAAGCGATTGCAGTTTATCTTCGCAGAACGAGCTGATTTCGTCCAATTTACTAGGAACTGCCTGGGAAGTGATATGTTCTTCAATGGTTTCAATTGATGCGAAAATTTTAGCTGCCTCATCCACAGGACTAGAAGCAGTAAGTATAGCTCCAACGGTGGTGTGCTCGGCAGGCTTGTCTAGTTCGATTGCCCCTGACATTGTATGAGAAAATTCGCCTAAGGCAACATCGACAGGACTGGATACTGTAGGGTAATTTCCTTTGATTTCAGCAGATGAGAGGGCTACCAAAATGGGTTCCCTTGAGGCTTCGTCAATAGGTGACGAAGCCGTTTCTGTTACGGACGCAGGACGATAAGGTTCATTTGACTTCGCACTCTCAATTAATGATGCTGGACGCGATGGTTCCTTATCTTTTAGGTTATCGTCCTTAACAGATTTAGGTTTTTCCGATTCATCTTTCACAGTTTCTACCACAGATCCGGGACGTGATACTTCTTTAGAGGCTGGCAAAGACTTATCACCCTTCAGAGTCTCTGACGTTGTTGTTTCCGCAACAGATTCTCTATCGTCAGTTTCACCCTTCACACTCTCTGCAACCGATGGGGGTCGCGAAGCGTCTTTAGAAGCTGGTAAGGACTTGCTGTCGGATGCTGATTCGAGGTGGGAAGGTTCTTTAAACTTGTCACCCTTATCAAGTTCAGGTACAAGTTCAGCAACAGATTCTACACTTTCTGGCTTTTCTGGTTGACCCTTCACACTGAGTGGTACGGTACCGGGTGATGCATCGTTGGAAAAAGCTAGATACATTTCCTCCTTTATACTAAGGGGCATTGAACTTTCGAAAGGTGATTTCTGACAGGATGGGTCCTCTATTTTTGCCTTTCCACTATCGTCCTTTATACTCTCGACTACTGATCCTGGCCGCGATACTTCTTTTGATGCTATTGGGGACTTAAAACTTCCCTCTTTTAAGTCAGACTTCTTAATTTCAGTAACATAGCTTACGGCTTCATCTACAGGGCTGGATGCAGTTTTTGGTGTAGCAACATCAGAGCGCTCCTCCGGCTTGGCTAGTTCAAGTGTCTCGGACAGAGAAGTTGCCACTGCAAAATTACCTTCAGCAATCTTAATAGGGCTGGAAAGAGTTGGGAAATCCCCTTTGGATTCCAGACTATGGGAACATGTATCTTTTTTGAGATGCTCACACAAAAAGTCTAAATTAATTGGCGACGGTACAGTTTGGGTAGCATATTTCTCCCCTTCAGGTATGGATTCTCGATGAGAAGGTTCGTCAAAGATGTTATCTTCGGCCGCAGCTACAGAATGTGAAGGTTTTGAGGAGACAGAAATAGACATGTCATCCCTCAAACTCGCCGGTTTTGTACTCTCCGCAACGGATTCACGACGGGAATGCTCTTCAGACTTTTCGTCCTTCAAACTTTCTGTTTTTTCATGTTCCTCTTTTACACTTTGGGCGACAGAGCCAGGTCGTGATGCTTCCTTGGAGACAGGTAGAGACTTGTCATTCCCCAAACTCTCGGGCTTTATACTATCCACAGCGGATTCACGTCGAGAAGGCTCGGTTGACTTTTCGTCCCTTACACTTTCTGGCTTTTCATGTTCATCTTCCAAACTTTCGGTAACTGAACCAGGGCGTGATGTTTCCTTGGAGACTGGAAGAGACTTGTCATCCTTTACACTTTCCGGTTTTATACTCCCCGAAACGGATTCACGGCGGGAAAGCTCTGCAGACTTATCGTCCCTCAGACTCCTTGGTTTAACATGTTCGTCTTTTACACTTTCGGCTACTGAACCAGGTCGTGATGCCTCTTTGGATACAGGCAGAGACTTGTTATCGTTAACACTCTCCGGTTTAATTATCTCCGCAACGGATTCACGTCGAGAAGGCTCTAAGGACGCTTTGTCTGGTTTCTCGTGCTCGTCTTGTACACTTTCTGCTACGGAACCAGGTCGTGTTGCTTCCTTAGATGCAGGTAGAGACTTTTCATCCTTTATGCTTTCTGGTTTCGTACTCTCCGTAACTGATTCACGTCGTGAAGGCACTGTAGACTCTACGTCCTTAACACTTTCTGGCTTCTCATGTTCGTCTTTCAAACTTTCTACTACGGAACCGGGCCGTGATGCTTCCTTAGATGCAGGTAAAGACTTTTCATCCTTCAAGCTTTCCGGTTTCACAATCTTCGCAACTGATTCACGTCGAGAAGGCTCTAAGGACGCTTCGTCTGGTTTCTCGTGCTCGTCTTGTACACTTTCTGCTACGGAACCAGGTCGTGTTGCTTCCTTAGATGCAGGTAAAGATTTTTCATCCTTCAAGCTTTCTGGTTTGGCACTCTCCGCAACTAACTCACGTCGTGAAGGCTCTGCAGACTTTTCGTCTTTAACACTTTCTGGCTTCTCTTGCTCACCTTTTACACTTTCCGCTACGGAACCGGGCCGTGTTGCTAACTTGGATGCAGGTAGAGAATTTTCATCCTTCAAGCTTTCTGGTTTGGCACTCTCCGCAACTGACTCACGTCGTGAAGGCTCTGCAGACTTTTCGTCTTTAACACTTTCTGGCTTCTCTTGCTCACCTTTTACACTTTCTGCTACGGAACCGGGCCGTGATGCTTCCTTGGATGCAGGTAAAGACTTTTCATCCTTCAAGCTTTCCGGTTTCACAATCTCCGCAACTGATTCATGTCGTGAAGGCTCTGTTGACTTTTCGTCCTTTACAGCTTCTGGTTTATCGTGATCGTCTTTAACACTTTCCGCTACGGAACCGGGCCGTGTTGCTTCCTTGGATGCAGGTAGAGAATTTTCATCCTTCAAGGTTTCTGGTTTGGCACTCTCCGCAACTGACTCACGTCGTGAAGGCTCTGCAGACTTTTCGTCTTTAACACTGTCTGGCTTCTCTTGCTCACCTTTTACACTTTCTGCTACGGAACCGGGCCGTGTTGCTTCCTTGGATGCAGGTAGAGACCTGTCATCCTTCACGCTTTCTGGTTTCGCACTCTCCGCAACTGATTCACGTCGTGAAGGCGCTGTTGACTTCTCTTTACATTCTGGTTTATCGCGCTCGTCTTTTACACTTTCTGCCACGGAACTGGGCCGTGATGCTTCCTTAGATGCAGGTTGAGACTCTTCATCCTTCAAGCTTTCTGGTTTCGCACTCTCCGCAACTGATTCACGTCGTGAAGGCTCTGTAGACTTTTCGTCCTTTACACTTTCTGGTTTCTCATGTTCGTCTTGCACACTTTCGACTACGGAACCGGGCCGTGATGCTTCCTTAGATGAAGGTAGAGACTTTTCATCCTTCAAGCTTTCTGGTTTCGTACTCTCCGCAACTGATTCACGTCGTGAAGGCTCTGTAGACTTTTCGTCCTTAACACTTTCTGGTTTCTCGTGCTCGTCTTTCACACTTTCTACTACGGAACCGGGCCGTGAGGCTTCCTTAGATGCAGGTAGAGACTTTTCATCCTTCAAGCTTACTGGTTTCGCACTCTCCGCAACTGATTCACGTCGTGATGGCTCTGTAGACTTTTCGTCCTTTACACTTTCTGGTTTCTCCTGTTCGTCTTGCACACTTTCGACTACGGAACCGGGCCGTGATGCTTCCTTAGATGCAGGTAGAGACTTTTCATCCTTCAAGCTTTCTGGTTTCGTACTCTCCGCAACTGATTCAGGTCGTGAAGGCTCTGTAGACTTTTCGTCCTTAACAGCTTCTGGTTTATCGTGATCGTCTTGCACACTTTCGACTACGGAACCGGGCCGTGATGTTTCCTTAGATGCAGGTAGAGACTTTTCATCCTTCAAGCTTTCTGGTTTCTTACTCTCCGCAACTGATTCACGTCGTGAAGGCTCCGCAGACTTTTCGTCTTTAACACTTTCTGGCTTCTCTTGCTCACCTTTTACACTTTCTGCTACGGAACCGGGTCGTGATACCTCCTTAGATGCATGTTGAGACTTCTCATCCTTCAAGCTTTCCGGTTTCACACTCTCCGCAACTGATTCACGTCGTGAAGGCTCTGCAGACTTTTCGTCCCTTACACTTTCTGGTTTCTCGTGTTCGTCTTTCACACTTTCTGCTACGGAACCGGGCCGTGTTGCTTCCTTAGATGCAGGTAGAGACTTTTCATCCTTCAAGCTTTCTGGTTTCGCACTCTCCGCAACTGACTCACGTCGTGAAGGCTCTGCAGACTTTTCGTCTTTAACACTTTCTGGCTTCTCTTGCTCACCTTTTACACTTTCTGCTACGGAACCGGGTCGTGATACTTCCTTAGATGCATGTTGAGACTTCTCGTCCTTCAAGCTTTCCGGTTTCACACTCTCCGCAACTGATTCACGTCGTGAAGGCTCTGCAGACTTTTCGTCCCTTACACTTTCTGGTTTCTCGTGTTCGTCTTTCACACTTTCTGCTACGGAACCGGGCCGTGAGGCTTCCTTAGATGCAGGTAGAGACTTTTCATCCTTCAGGCTTACTGGTTTCGCACTCTCCGCAACTGATTCACGTCGTGATTGCTCTGTAGACTTTTCGTCCTTTACACTTTCTGGTTTCTCCTGTTCGTCTTGCACACTTTCTACTACGGAACCGGGCCGTGATGCTTCCCTAGATGCAGGTATAGACTTTTCATCCTTCAAGCTTTCTGGTTTCGTACTCTCAGCAACAGATTCACGTCGTGAAGGCTCTGTAGACTTTTCGTCCTTTACACTTTCCGGTTTCTCATGTTCGTCTTTCAAACTTTCTACTACGGAACCGGGCCGTGATGCTTCCTTAGATGCAGGTAAAGACTTTTCATCCTTCAAGCTTTCTGGTTTCGTACTCTCCGCAACTGATTCACGCCGTGAAGGCTCTGTAGACTTTTCGTCCTTTACACTTTCCGGTTTCTCATGTTCGTCTTTCAAACTTTCTACTACAGAACCGGGCCGTGATGCTTCCTTAGATACAGGTAGAGACTTTTCATCCTTCAAGCTTTCCGGTTTCACACTCTCCGCAACTGATTCACGTCGTGAAGGCTCTGCAGACTTTTCGTCCTTTACACTTTCTGGTTTATCGTGATCGTCTTTCACACTTTCTGCCACGGAACCGGGCCGTGATGCTTCCTTCGATGCAGGTAGAGACTTTTCATCCTTCAAGCTTTCTGGTTTCGTACTCTCCGCAACTGATTCACGTCGTGAAGGCTCTGTAGACTTTTCGTCCTTTACACTTTCCGGTTTCTCATGCTCGTCTTTCACACTTTCTACTACGGAAGTGGGCCGTGATGCTTCCTTAGATGCAGGTAGAGACTTTTCATCCTTCAAGCTTTCTGGTTTCGCACTCTCCGCAACTGATTCACGTCGTGAAGGCTCTGTAGACTTTTCGTCCTTTACACTTTCCGGTTTCTCATGCTCGTCTTTCACACTTTCTACTACGGAAGTGGGCCGTGATGCTTCCTTAGATGCAGGTAGAGACTTTTCATCCTTCAAGCTTTCTGGTTTCACACTCTCCGCAACTGATTCACGTCGTGAAGGCTCTGCAGACTTTTCGTCCTTTACACTTTCTGGTTTATCGTGATCGTCTTTCACAGTTTCTGCCACGGAACCGGGCCGTGATGCTTCCTTCGATGCAGGTAGAGACTTTTCATCCTTCAAGCTTTCTGGTTTCGTACTCTCCGCAACTGATTCACGTCGTGAAGGCTCTGTAGACTTTTCGTCCTTTACATTTTCCGGTTTCTCATGCTCGTCTTTCACACTTTCTACTACGGAAGTGGGCCGTGATGCTTCCTTAGATGCAGGTAGAGACTTTACATCCTTCAAGCTTTCTGGTTTTGTACTCTCCGCAACTGATTCACGTCGTGAAGGCTCTGTAGACTTTTCGTCCTTTACACTTTCTGGTTTTTCCTGTTCGTCTTGCACACTTTCGACTACGGAACCGGGCCGTGATGCTTCCTTAGATGCAGGTAGAGACTTTTCATCCTTCAAGCTTTCTGGTTTCGCACTCTCCGCAACTGAATCACGTCGTGAAGGCTCTGTGGATTTTTCGTCCTTTACACTTTCCGGCTTCTCGTGCTCGTCTTTCACGCTTTCTGCTACGGAACCGGGCCGTGATGCTTCCTTAGATGCAGCTAGAGACTTTTCATCTTTCAAGCTTTCTGGTTTCGTACTCTCCGCAACTGATTCACGTCGTGAAGGCGCTGTCGACTTTTCGTCCTTGACACTTTCTGGTTTATCGTGCTCGTCTTTCACACTTTCTACCACGGAACCGGGCCGTGATGCTTCCTTAGATGCAGGTAGAGACTTTTCATCCTTCAAGCTTTCTGGTTTCGCACTTTCCGCAACTGATTCACGTCGTGAAGTTGCTGTAGACTTTTCGTCCTTTACACTTTCTGGTTTCTCCTGTTCGTCTTGCACACTTTCGACTACGGAACCGGGCCGTGATGCTTCCTTAGATGCAGGTAAAGACTTTTCATCCTTCAAGCTTTCTGGTTTCGCACTTTCCGCAACTGACGCACGTCGTGAAGGCTCTGCAGATTTTTCGTCTTTTACACTCTCTGATTTCTCGTGCTCATCTTTCACACTTTCTGCTACGGATCCGGGCCGTGATGCTTCCTTAGATGCAGCTAGAGACTTTTCATCTTTCAAGCTTTCTGGTTTCGTACTCTCCGCAACTGATTCACGTCGTGAAGGCGCTGTCGACTTTTCGTCCTTGACACTTTCTGGTTTATCGTGCTCGTCTTTCACACTTTCTACCACGGAACCGGGCCGTGATGCTTCCTTAGATGCAGGTGGAGACTTTTCATCCTTCAAGCTTTCTGGTTTCGCACTTTCCGCAACTGACGCACGTCGTGAAGGCTCTGTAGAGTTTTCGTCTTTTACACTCTCTGGTTTCTCCTGCTCGTCTTTCACACTTTCTACCACGGAATCGGGCCGTGATGCTTCCTTAGATGCAGGTAGGGGCTTTTCATCCTTCAAGCTTTCTAGTTTCGCAGTCTCCGCAACTGATTCACGTCGTGAAGCGTCTGTAGATTTTTCGCCATCTACACTTTCCGGCTTCTCGTGCTCGTCTTTCACACTTTCTACCACGGAACCGGGCCGTGATGCTTCCTTAGATGCAGGTAGGGACTTTTCATCCTTCAAGCTTTCTGGTTTCGCACTCTCCGCAACTGATTCACGTCGTGAAGGCTCTGTTGACTTTTCGTCCTTTACAGCTTCTGGTTTATCGTGATCGTCTTTAACACTTTCTGTTACGGAACCTGGCCGTGATGCTTCTTTAGATGCAGCTAGAGACTTTTCATCTTTCAAGTTTTCTGGTTTCGTACTCTCCGCAACTGATTCACGTCGTGAAGGCGCTGTCGACTTTTCGTCCTTGACACTTTCTGGTTTATCGTGCTCGTCTTTCACACTTTCTACCACGGAACCGGGCCGGGATGTTTCCTTAGATGCAGGTAGGGACTTTTCATCCTTCAAGCTTTCTGGTTTCTCACTCTCCGCAACTGATTCACGTCGTGGAGGCTCTGTTGACTTTTCGTCCTTTACAGCTTCTGGTTTATCGTGATCGTCTTTAACACTTTCTGCTACGGAACCGGGCCGTGATGTTTCCTTAGATGCAGGTAGAGACTTTTCATCCTTCAAGCTTTCTGGTTTCGTACTCTCCGCAACTGATTCACGTCGTGAAGGCTCTGTTGACTTTTCGTCCTTTACAGCTTCTGGCTTATCGTGATCGTCTTTAACACTTTCTGCTACGGAACCGGGCCTTGTTGCTTCCTTGGATGGAGGTAGGGACTTTTCATCCTTCAAGCTTTCTGGTTTCGCACTCTCCGCAACTGATTCACGTCGTGAAGGCGCTGTCGACTTTTCGTCCTTGACACTTTCTGGTTTATCGTGCTCGTCTTTCACACTTTCTACCACGGAACCGGGCCGTGATGCTTCCTTAGATGCAGGTAGGGACTTTTCATCCTTCAAGCTTTCTGGTTTCGCACTCTCCGCAACTGATTCACGTCGTGAAGGCTCTGTTGACTTTTCGTCCTTTACAGCTTCTGGTTTATCGTGCTCGTCTTTCACACTTTCTACCACGGAACCGGGCCGTGATGCTTCCTTAGATGCAGGTAGGGACTTTTCATCCTTCAAGCTTTCTGGTTTCGCACTCTCCGCAACTGATTCACGTCGTGAAGGCGCTGTCGACTTTTCGTCCTTGACACTTTCTGGTTTATCGTGCTCGTCTTTCACACTTTCTACCACGGAACCGGGCCGTGATGCTTCCTTAGATGCAGGTAGGGACTTTTCATCCTTCAAGCTTTCTGGTTTCGCACTCTCCGCAACTGATTCACGTCGTGAAGGCTCTGTTGACTTTTCGTCCTTTACAGCTTCTGGCTTATCGTGATCGTCTTTAACACTTTCTGCTACGGAACCGGGTCTTGTTGCTTCCTTGGATGGAGGTAGAGACTTTTCATCCTTCAAGCTTTCTGGATTCGCACTCTCCGCAACTGATTCACGTCGTGAAGGCTCTGTAGACTTTTCGTCCTTGACACTTTCTGGTTTTTCGTGCTCGTCTTTTACACTTTCTGCCACGGAACCGGGCCGTGTTGCTTCCTTAGATGCAGGTAGAGACTTTTCATCCTTCAAGCTTTCTGGTTTCGCACTTTCCGCAACTGATTCACGTCGTGAAGTTGCTGTAGACTTTTCGTCCTTTTCAGCTTCTGGTTTATCGTGATCATCTTTAACACTTTCTGCTACGGAACCGGGTCTTGTTGCTTCCTTGGATGGAGGTAGAGACTTTTCATCCTTCAAGCTTTCTGGTTTCGCACTCTCCGCAACTGATTCACGTCGTGAAGGCCCTGTAGACTTTTCGTCCTTGACACTTTCTGGTTTAGCGTGCTCGTCTTTAACACTTTCTGCTACGGAACTGGGTCGTGATACTTCCTTAGATGTGGGTAGGGACTTTTCATCCTTCAAGCTTTCTGGTTTCGCACTCTCCGCAACTGATTCACGCCGTGAAGGCGCTGTCGACTTTTCGTCCTTAACACTTTCTGGTTTCTCGTGTTCGTCTTTCACACTTTCTGCTACGGAACCGGGCCGTGAGGCTTCCTTAGATGCAGGTAGAGACTTTTCATCCTTCAGGCTTACTGGTTTCGCACTCTCCGCAACTGATTCACGTCGTGATTGCTCTGTAGACTTTTCGTCCTTAACACTTTCTGGTTTCTCGTGCTCGTCTTTTACACTTTCTACCACGGAACCGGGTCGTGATGCTTCCTTAGATGCAGGTAGAGACTGTTCATCCTTCTGAATTTCTGGTTTCAAACTCTCCGCAACTGATTCACGTCGCGAAGGCTCTGTTGACTTTTTGTCTTTTATATTTTCTGGCTTTTCATGCTCGTCCGATCCGGTTTTTAAGGTTTCTTTGGAGTCTGGAAGTAATTTGACAGCCGTAATGAGCTCTGGTTTTAATTTGTCCTCACTAGACTCTTCGGCTACTAAAGGTGCTTGCTTTTGTGTTTCTTCTTTGGAAATATGAATTTCAACTTCAATTGCTTCTTCAATTGTTGCGGGGCTCTCGAGAGATACAGTGTCTTCTCGGTCTTTAACTTTTGTTGGTGCGACGATGGGTTGCACAAGATGCGCTGGCAATTCATCTTCAGAAGTTATTTCGCTGGCTTCTTTTTCATCTGGTGTAATTGCCAATTGTTTGTTTGCTTTATCAGTCGGTTTTTCAAGGTCCACCTCTATATTATAGCTCTCCGAAATAGCATTACTTACAATTTCGGTTGTTTTAACAACGGCTACCTCAGTTTTTTGTTCGTCAGATTCAAGTTTAGCGGTAATCTCTGTTTTCGCAATAATGTTTTCCAAAATCTCCTGTTTTGGCTCAGACACATGGTCCGCATCATCTGCTGCTTCCATTTCCTTGACTTCCTTTTCATCTTCGGTCTCTTTCTCCTCTTTGGCCGTCTCTTCTTTGTGTGAAATACTCTTGGGGCCAGCATCGTGCGTATCCTTCTCGTACAGCCCTAAGTCAGCTTCCTCATGAACCGGCAAATCTGCAACCTCGTCGGGTGTCTTGATAACATCACGCATCAGACTCTGTTGGGCTTCAAATGTCATTTTCTTGGGTAATATACGTTCCGCAGAGTCCACGCCGGTGGCAAGCGGCTCAGTAACCTCAATTTTGGTTTCGGTTGTTGCGATGATGGTTGATGCTGCTACTGCTGCGATGGGAACTGCAACAGTAGCCACAACAATAGTTTCTATCTCCTTGGTTTCCTCTTTGACATATTTCTCCTCGATGACCAAGTCCTCTTTGATTTTGTCCAACGGAATTCGTTCATCTTCTGGTAAGGTGGGTGCTGTAGTAGCTCCCGATTCGATGGTGGCCGAGAATTTCTCCTCTGGAAGACTTTCTTGTAAGTTTATAGGCAGCGCCTCGGGAGCTTCGATCGGTTCGTCTTTAGTATCTGACGTTTTCTTGGCACTGCTGAGCTTATCGTCGGGCGTCGGAGAAGAGAACTCCTCCTCAACTTGTTTTGCTTGCGGCAGTTGCTCTTCAGTGCGGGACTTTACAAGGTCCTTGGCAGTGGATATGATCTCTTGAACCTCAGCCTTGATTTCTGTTTTTTCGGTTGTTGCCAGCTGTTCGTGCATCTCATGTCTCGCCGCATCGCTACTCTCCAGACGAGCCTTGCGCTCCTCTGCTTCAGCCTTGGCGATTGCCGCTTCGATTTCCTCCTCGGCGCTTTTCTTACGCTTTTTTTCTGATTCCTGCGAGTCGCGTTGATGCTTTTGAATCTCCTCCTCCTTTGTCATGCTGCTCTCCTGCTCTTGTTCAATAATTGAGTCCTCAGTGTACTGCTCGACCTCTTCCTTTTCAATAATCAAGTATTCTTCTTCTTCCTCGGCTTCCGTTGTGCTGTCCTGCTTGGCCATCTCGCGCAGCTCCGCCTTGATCAAGTGTTGTCGCTTCATCTCGTCTCGACTAAACACAGCTTCAATTTCGCGTACCACTTCCTGCTCCTCCTTTAGATCGTCCAACTCACGTTGCTTTTCCGCATCCAGCTCTTGCGAGGCGCTTAACTCTAGCATCTTTTTGGCTGCTGTCGCCTCATCCGCCGACGGTGTGGATACCAGGCTGGAATCTGTGGTGCCGCCCTTATCCAGACGCGACTTCTTTAAATCCGGCTTGGGCTTTGCTGATTTAATTGGGCTGCCTGGCGCTGGAGCCCGCTTGGAAGGTGATACCCCACGTGGCCTTCGTGAGATAGGCTTGCGCTGCGCTGCCTGTGTCGTTGTGTGCTGCGATGTTTTCGACTCGACCTGTTGCGACTTCTTTTCCATGGTGCTAACAGTGCGACGTGTGCTGGTAGTAGTCTGCCGCGCCGACGTCGCCTGCTGCTTGGACTCAAGCACCTTGCGGTTGTTGGCCTCCTTGGCACTCTTAGCAGGTGTGCTGCTGGGACTCGACTTGGTGGTGCGTGTTATTATTTTCGGCTTGATATCACGTGTAGCAGGCGTTCGGCTTACAGCTGGCGTGGCGGTAGGCGAACTCTTTTTATCCTCACGCTTAACCAGCTTCCGGTCCATGGACTTGGGCGGTTTGCTGTCAATTCTTGACCGTACAACTGGCTTGACTTCCGCTCGTGGCTTGTCTGGCTTGCCTTTGGTGGCCTTTGCTGTCTTGCTAGCAGCCTCCGTAGGGGGGGCGTCAACTGCATCCTTAACTGGCGCAGTTGACGGCTGTGGCTTGACAATCAACACCTCCACTTTTTTCTCTTCATCAGCATCCTTGTTGTCTTCCTGCTCGGCAGGCTCTGTCGAGGGAACGGATGGCTCGGGCGCTCCCTCATCGCCAGTGTCGACAGCGAGCTCGGGCTCAGCCTCTGGCTCATCTGTGTCTACGGAGTCCGCTTTGGCACTAACAAGTGGTGCAGATCGGTCCACTTGTTCGCCGGATGTTTCCGCTGAAACTGCTGATGCTGTAGCCGCCACTGCAGCTGCGGCTGCTTCCTTAGCTTCCTTGGCCTTATTGTCCTGCTGCACAGCGACAGCGGCGATAGCTGTTGGACCGAATTTGCTAGGCTTGTAACTGGCGCTGGGTGGAGTGCCCTCAATGGCAGATTTAAGTGTCTTTCTGGTGCTGGTCACGGTCTGTATAGCTGGGGCTATAGACTTGGCCGTGCATGTTGAGTGCTTCATAAACTCAAGATGCTTGAGCTTCTCCAGACCCTCCTGGATCTTAAAATCTGGTGTGCTGCCAGGAAAAAGGATGCGGGTTATGGTATCATCCGGATTAGCTGGCTGCCAGACAAGCAACGCGCAGATAGATACCAAATTCTGCAAGGGGAAGTTAAACTCCTTGGTGTCGCGTGCGGCAAACAAACGCTGATCACCTGCATTCCATTTCTGCAAAAAGTCCTTGACCTCTTTGGAATCCCGCGAAGGGCTTATCACATACATGTCGAGGGTTCCGTGGCCGACCTTGTGGTACAGATTAATAGGCTCCTGATTGCGATAACAGCACTGCGGCTTGAGGTCAAGCGATTTTAGATCATTGACGAGACCATGGCCGCGCTCAAAAAGATCGATGAGCAGCGGATTACGATCCTTATCACCATCAGGACTGGGCAGGCCACCCTTCCGATCGGGAACGTTGCCAAAGAAATGCCCGATCTGTGGATAGACGTGGGAGTCCCGCTTACGTGCCACCACAGCACCAAGACCCTGGACATTGCTGTTGTTCAGACGCGTCATCAGCACCGCATCAAGGCGATCCAAATGACGTGCAAAGTCCCAGAAACAAGCCTTACGATTAAAGCCGCCATCAACTATAAAGGCACAGAAATTACAAAGGGCTTACCAATCTTTATTAGCCTTCAACTTACCCAGCATGTTAAAACCATTGATGCCAAAGAGGGCGGCGTCACCCTGACCACCGGGAAATACATAGAGAGTGGGGTGCGTAAAACGTATATTGCCCACCACATCGGACGTCTCCAGCAACTCACGCAACGAAGTTGGCACCAGCATTGGCGCCAGATAGTCTGCAATTCGTCAAGGATATAAAAATACAGGTCTTTCAGTTTGAGCTCGGGTAAGTCGTACCTATAAAGCCGTTAATGTACTCGCTACTGGTGTCCAGGACATCTACCGGATTGATGCGTATTTTACACTGGCGTGAAAAAACCTTATCCGGCAACGTGTGCCACAGACCAGCATCTGCGCAGTGTATATTCATCGTTATGGTATCCGCATAGGCGCGTATTACCCTTTGTACGTCGTGCTCTTGAAATGCCTCCGCAAAGTCAGCCACCGAGAAGGTGCCATCCTGCAGGGAAACACATTGTTAGCATAAGCTTTACCTCCAGCCCTTGACCCGTGACTGACCTGTAGGATCCAAGAACCGTTGCCGCTAAAGGTATACCCGGCGTGTATAATGTGACGATGCCGCGTAAAACTGCTTAGTAGATTGCGCATACATTGTATAAGCGTGTTATACTGCGGATGTATGAGCACCTCCGTCACAAGATTCTCGCTGGCATACTGTATTAGTCGCTCACCTGGAAATTTAAGAAGAGAAATTCCAAATATAGAGGTAACATATGACTCCCAGCATCAATGTGGATTGTAAATAAGCTTTAAATTAAGAAAACTGATTAAACACTTTGAATTAAAGCTTGGAAAAGCATTTTAAAACAGGGGAGCCAATAAGCACGCTTCTAGTTTATTTCTGGTCGAGCATTGTTTGCTTATCTCTTAAATAATCATCTGCTCACAATTTGCTTGGTTAGCAAAGAAAAGCTCTTAAAATCATTAATATTTAGTTAGATATGTATAAATGGAATGTGCTTGCGTGCAATATATTCAAGTAGCTCGTTTGGTCTTCAGAGCTCCCAAGGAGCTCCCGCTCCCGCCTGTCTAGCGGTCTCTACTGCCAACCACGCAGAAATTTTATTATTTGCGGTAAGCCTGACTCAGCTAACCGAACAACTGGTCGGTCGGTCGGTCGGTCGGTCTAGGCGGACGGTGGGCTTGTTGGTTGGTATATTGGTGGGTCTGGTTGAACTACCATTCAACATTAACCCACCGAGCGCACTAATGAATAGCTAAAACGTCGAGTGCCAAGCGAACAAGGGGCTTGGATTACCAAACGCTTGTGTCCCGGCTAAAGAATCCGAGCATTAGGCACGCACACCAAATCAAGTGGCTTTAAATTGTCAGACGGTGGGTGGACGGTGGGTGGACGGCGAGTTAAGTTGGCTTTATTGTCAAGCATTTTATTCGCACTTGTACCAAAGCTGCACGGCGGTTGCAGTTCAGTGAAAATCATTTCATAAATCTTTAATTTTTATGGTTTAATTAAGATTTTCAGTCAGCTTTAGCGCTGACTATTTGGTCAACCAGTAGTGCCACAAGCCGAAGCATACGACCTTGCTGACGACCTTGTCATGTCATTTGCTGTCAACCATCATGATGATGGCCATCGTCACTGGATGAGTGCGCTTTTCTGGCCGATGCCAGCACTAAATGTTTTCACAGCGAGCCGTATGTAAATAATTTACGCATTTTCTGTACTAAATAGTCGTTGCCAAAGCCCAAAAATCGGGCGCACATGCCATGTGACAGCCTACACAAATATGTGCACACACACACACATTCCAAATGTATGTGTGCACATTACGTATACGCCACGTCGACCTAACGTTTAATGTGTCCACGTACGCGTAAAAAAAGCGACGAGCCATCGAGCTTGAAGAGCACCCAAGCGTGCATCTACGTATGGCTTCACTCAAGCTTGCCGCCTCCCAGGCGTTTTGTCTGTCCGAGTGTCCGGCTGCCCAGACCATTCGCAGCTCCGCATGTCCCACATGCTTTTTTTATAAATGATAATCTTAATAGCGACCTGCGTGTGGCTTTTATTTATCAGACCTATGCACACACAGTCGGATACAAACAAAGTACTTTTTTGTCTGCGTTTCTGAAACGCAGTGACATATATATACCCGCATATTGGGGTCCGGGTGCGTATTTAACGCATGTGGCACCCGTGCGTATACGCAACTTGTGAATTAAGGTTGGCAACATCCGCGCTTTTTCTTAGTGCTTCAACAGGCCCCGGCAGGCGCGTGACAATTTCGAGTCTCATAAATAAAACGCGGTTAAAGAATTTGCATTTCATTAACACGAAGGCAGCTGCCTTAGTGTCATTTCGTATAAATCAAATCGAATGAAGGTTACACATTCCAGACTATTTGATGCTCTGACGAGCAGTTCGAGGCTGATTAATCAAATAGAAGTGGATCTGGCAATATTATTTTTGTTTGACATGTGATTGTCATTCAAAGTTAGCTTGTAAATTATACGTTTACAGAAGAGAATAAACATGACTTTATTTTCTAGTATTTCACGTGCATTTGCCCAACAGTTCAGTGAAAATCATTTAATCAATCGTGTCTTTTTAAGGTCACTTGGGAAGCAATCAGTTGACCTGACCTGAATTTATACGAATATATTTGACCTGACTTGAATTTATACGAAAATATTTACAAACAACTAAAAGCTTAAAACTCGTTTAAAGTAACTTAGTTAAGCAGCTAACTCTTTGTTGCTAACTTTTCGAATGATATGTCCACAATTAAACGTTATCTTATCATTTCAGTTGAGAGGCGTAAAGGAATTCCATTATAATTCAGAGGTAAGGGTCTTAATAGCTGGTAAATATGAAAGGCATTCTGTACACAGTTGGAAACTGTGCTTGTGTTGTTGGCTTAGCCTTTTTATGTAAGTCGCCTTAAAAGTATTTACAGTTTCGAATGTCCAACTATAAATGTCCCTTAAGAACTTGGTTTGCCAAGCCAGAAAACCACAAAGACTGTACAGTACAGATACGAACCAATAGGCCTGAGTGGCAGATCGAGCACTCAATGGCAACGCAAAGTTTGAAAGCCACATACAATGGAAAAGTTGCATCAACTTGGTGGCAAATACCGCCCACAGCCCAGCTCCCAATCGCCTTGGCTCCCAGCAAAATAATGGCGAATGGCGACATGAATGTAGTTCAAAAAAAAAAAAAAAAAAAGAAAAAAAAACCTCCCGCACAATGTGCCAGCCAGTACTCGGGTTTGTGTCAAGTGCAGTTTTTCGTATTGCAAAGTCCATTGAAAAGTTTTCGCGCGCTGGCCACACCTAACCAAAATGGCGAACGGCCGCAGATTAACCGTTAATAACTGTACTTTAATGCCTACGCTCGGTATGCTGCCAAGTTTTGAAACAAAGCAAATTTGCATAACAACAGGCGGAAACTTTTTGTGTTTTATGATTTCTCTCTTTTTTTTGTTCTCCAATTCCACTTGTTTTTTGTTTTCATGCTTCTTTTTTTCTGTGCCGGACTGCAAAGTAATTACAGTTGGCGCCGGTCACCACCCGGCACTGAAGTCCTTCTTCCCGCACGCCTCTTCAAACGAAAAATGGCGAAAAGTTTGCTGTGAAGCCGGCGTGCTAAAGCCCGCACGTGTAAAAAAACTTGTCCATAGCCATTTTTAGTATTAGCCCCCGTAGCCCCTGAGGGGCACTACATTGAATTAAAGTTTCATAGAGTCATGATGGATCTATCTGTCGCCGGAATAGGACAATCTACCAAGGCATTGTCTAGGCTAGTTAATCAGTCAATCATAATTTTCCATATCAAGGATGTATTGCACTGCATTGATTTAAAGATTCTTAAAGTAGATTAATGATGTATATATGTATATACATACATATATGCATCCGGAATATGTAGGTCAATCAACTAAGTTATTTTGTAGGCTAGTCAATCATTTTTCTATATCAAGGATGTATTGGGAAAGTTTAGAGCATGTTAAACTTGAGGATAATTTGGTAAAAGTAATATAATATTTAGGCTCTGTAACTTAAAGCCCAACAGAAAATATAAGTAAAAGTGAGGATTTGTAAAAGAAAAAAAAGAATTTCAGGATTTAGCTTTGCGTGGGCACGAACTCTTTTGATCCTTTGACGACTCTGAATTAATGCTAAACATTAAGTTTGTTTTTAAAACTGATATTCTTAAGAATTGAATTAAGAATTAAGAATATTTTTGGATTCACCTGACGGCAAGGTCAGTTACTGTGCATCGTACTCTGCTGACCCTGCCAAAAATGTAATCCATGGTCTAGCCGGTGGTAAATGTTATGTGGCTCTTGCGTTCTGGGACTGGCTTAAAAGCCAGTTAACGAATTACCAGCCTGGCTGCACAATTGTGTATGCAGCCAGTGCTCGGCAATGGGCTTATTCAAATAGGTATTCACGCTTCAGAGGGACAGTATTCGCGTTGATTTATTCAATTTAAATGCGCTTTATACACAAAATAACTGGTTGATGTATTTTAATTAGTTTGTCGAAAATTAAATTCAATTACTATATGCAATGGCACGCAGGTTAAGCGCATTTTTTAAGGCGTCCATCAGACGTATGCATCATTAATCATAGATCAGAAACAAAATCTGTATGCTGCCCCTGCTGATGATGTTGATGATGCGGCGTCTCTAGTTTGGTGTTCAACAAACCCAATAACATGTTGTAAGCGTCAAAGCTTTGGCAACTAGCCCAGTTGTCTCGTCTAGACCATCAGTCCCAGCTCGGTCCTCTCCTTCTTCTTCTTTCGCCTGTCCGGGCCGCTAATTAAAAGCAATGCAAAGCGCGACCAGATACCGACTGAATGGCCCACGTCAGCTGTTCTGTGTGCCTTGGCTTGGCTTATGTAGTTGAGTCGGGCTCATGTCACGGGCATCATTGATAAGCGTCGCTGATATGGATTGACGCCTGTCAGCAATGTCCTTCACGTCCATGTGAAATATAGCATCAGAGCAAGGATGAACGCGGAGCGCCTCGTGTTTCAGCATTTTAGTTGTTCTCAAAGTTTTTTGTTTTTGTTTTTAAATTTGAATTCAAACTATGTAACGCTAGCTGAAGTTAAATCGAGAGTATCGACAGTTTAGTAACAATTGTTTTTATTGTTATCGAAAGTTAGGTTGCTGAAAGTTAGGTTTTAAAATTGGACTGTGTTGAAGAGCTTTCCAAATTCTGTACTACTAGGAACAGTGTTGCGGAACTGGAGTAGACACAGGCAATCAATCTACTCAATCTGAATAACAATCGGTATAGGCACGATATATGGTATAATAGAAGCGGCTAAATGGATTGCCTAAAGTTTTCCGATATGCCTGAACATAATATTTTGTATAGATCGGAAAAGGGTTTGTGTTAAATTATTCTCGATATTTTTACTTTATCAGTTGGAAATCACTTCTTGACAGATTTTGGTTATGATCAGCTCAAGATAAATCAGCAGCTTTTATTGAAGCAAGTGTACTCAATATTCGGTGACGCGATAGTTATATGTTTTCGTTTATTTTTAAGCTGGAATTCTTCTATTTGCTTATCCCTGCTGCCAGATATGTCTCTGGCAAGCATCTCGCTCCGCTGAAAGCTCAGTTGGAGCGTACAGCTATTCTTGGAGTGGGAGTGTACGTATGCAAATATGTATATGTGGGTGTGTGTGACTGACTGTCCGACATTCAGTTCTTTGCCTAAGTTTTGCCTGCAGGGGCGTTGGCGCGACTATCTTATTGTATTTCTTTCTCTTATTTCTGTGCCATCCTATTCATGGACTGTGCTTGAATTATGCATGAGCTGCACAGTGGTTGTCAATATGGCCTTGTCTGTTATACGTATGTGTGTGCGCGTTAGTATTTGAAAGTTCAACTGTATGTTTGCCAGGCTCTATCAATCAATTTTTGCATACATTTTATCTCAACAATTTGTACGGCTTTAAAGGTTATGTGTGTGCTTATGGAAGCTAAGCAATAAAAAAGTGTGCAAAGCTCACAATAAAACGCTAGTTACCCAATCTGACGAGTGCCGTAATTTGTTAACAGATCAAAAATCTGCGGTTGCATTCACACATCACAAACTAACGAGTGCCGTATAAGTATAACGAATGACAATTAACGAGTACTGAGAGAGAACAGACCAACGAATGGCGTAAAAGTGTATCGCCTGGCTAGTAGCAATTATAACGAGTGAACAATTACATGCACGTTTTTAAATATTATGATCAGTTGAATGAGCTGCAAGTGCGAACATGAAGTGAACAGACGAGTGCCTTAAAAGTATAACGAGTGTGAAGTAGCAAGTGCAACCGTCAGGAAGCTGTGCTTGGAACTACAGGGTATCGAGTACGTAATAAAACAAATAAAAGTCGTGACGAGTGACGAACAAACACGTCTGAAGATGTTGTTATTTGTGATCAGTTGAAAAAACAGCAGAGAATCCACTTGGAGCGGCGTGTAAATAGCATAAAAATTGCAAGCTACGAGTAGTGCGTTAGTACAACGAATGACGAGTGCTTTTAATGTCAGCTGCCAATTGTTGAAAGACTTTATTGAATTTATGATATCTGGTTAGTTAAGGGATTGCAATGTCACATGTAGATATAAAAAATTTGCAGAAACAATGAATGGCTTACGCCCTTGTAATCATATAGTTTTTGCTATGCGCTAGTTGAATAAGTTAACTAGCTAGCAAGCATAATAGAGTCTGGCTCCAATACATCTTTCCCTTTGGGTCATATATCCTAGTGTCAACTTAGTGATATTAATGCTGAGGTTAATCAAGAAAATAAATAGAAGTAACTTGCAGTTGGCCAAAGTGCAGCACTGAGGGGCGTTTGTGGAGGTTGCACTTGCAAAGTTTTAGCTGCGAACTTTACCAAGTCCCACGAGCAAACTTAAGTAAACTGCATCAAATTCAATTTTAAAGCATAACTTTGTCGTGGATAATGAAGGACGACGCCGTGATGAGTATAAGCTATAAAATATAAATTATGCGCCTGTTAACAAATGTTGGTAATTGCTCCTGCGCCCCTCCGCCTGCATTGCATCGGCCGAAAAGGAGCTTTCAAGAGGACAAGACTTTATACAAAACATGAAAGCCAAGGCATAGAGGAAACGTTCAGGCTTCTGCTAGTTGGCAGTTGACAAGGGCCAACAAAGCAGCGTTAGGTAAACGATAGCTGGACGCTGGATAACAAGAGGCAGGAGTGGACTGCACGGCCATGCTTTGTTGTGGAGGTGCTGACGTTTATCGACTTGCCGACGGCTGGTTGCGCCCTAACCTTTGTCAAATTAGAATGCCCCGTGAAGTCTCTGTCCTACATAAGGCGCCAAGCGAGCCGTGCCCAGATCAGCAACTGCAGCAACATTTAGAACTTTAGTGATTTCTTCAACTGTACTTGAATTGCCCGACTTATGGCATCATTATTGAGCTCTCGGCCGGTGCGTGCGCCCGAGCACTTGAGAATTTTATTTGAGTGGTTTTTTGCAGCAGTGTAAACAAGAAATTCAAATGCGGAATACACTTTGCCCAAGTCCTTGTTCTGGACAATGGCAGAAAGGCATTGAGCGCAGGTGCTGCTGGTCTTGCACTTACCAACGAGCCAGCCCAAGGACAGTCTCCGTGCATATCATTGACAACAGGCGCTGCAAAGTATGCTACACATTTTTATTTCCATTATTATGCTGCACCAACTGCTGCAAGTTCGAAACAGCCAACAGCTATTATTTTCGCAAACTATGTTCAATGTTGAACTTACGCAAGTCGAAGTTGTTTTACAACACTGCCGTGGAGTAAAATCAATTTGTAATTTTGTACATTACATGAGAAATAGCAGCTTGAATAAAGCATTGCCTGAAAACTTAAATTGAATTTGACTATAACATGCTCGAAGAACGGAGTTTGCTCCTCCCAAAAATTAAGTTCTTTGACTTCAATGACTGCTAAATAGCTGACAGCGTTTCAAACTTGGTAATTATCAAGGATATAAATGGCAATAACTACTAGGTTTAAAATGTCTACTTTGACTCTTTGCTTTACTATCCATAATAGAATTAATTAAAAATTAAAGTCCTTCAATCAAGGATTTTGACGTTGGACAAATTTAGCGCACGTACAAGGTTATCATGTTCATATCTTAGTTGATGGTTGCAATTCTACAGAATTTAAAGATTCGAAACGAAGGCGAGGCGCTTGAAGTTCCAGAGGCGATAACCAGATTTACTGTTGATGATAGAACCGACAGGTTCTCGAGTCGCTTAACATAATATAAAGCTTAATATTAGCTCTGCAAAGCGAATCTGAACTCAAAGAGTGTAAAAACCAACAATGAGCAGATGAGTAACTAGTGCTACTTGTTTGATATTTGCATCGGCTGTCAAGTGCAATTTTTATAACCCATGTAGCATGGAAGTCTACAAGCAAACTTGCGTTAATTTCTGCACAGCTTGTAGAATGCTTCTATTTGCGCAACAACAACAACAACAACAAGGAGAGCAATAATGACAAGAACATCATCAGCAGCAAAGGGCACACAAACAACAATAAATGAAAGAGGAGGCAGCAGTTGAGGGACTGTGAAAACTGTTCACCCGATGCAGTGCAGCCACTTGAATGCATTTCAACAACGTTGTCCCGACTAATCCGCAAAGACAACCAGATCCGAGAGGCCCGCACAATTCTCGACACTTGGCTGGCTGTGTCATATTGTTGTTCTTATTGTTGCGGCTGCCGTTGCACTGGGGCAGATGAAAATGAAAATGCGCAGCTCTCCGATTTGGATTCATTTTAACACAAAAGATACACACACACACAAACACACACACACAAACACACACACACACACAGAAATCATTTGGAGAGCTCGAGCTTTGGATTTGATGAATGCCAATTGTGATAGCTGTTGAAAGACAATTGTCATAATTTCTTGGAATAATAATTTTTTGTCATTTTCTGCTGCACACTGAAAAGTTAAATAGTTGAATAATTGCAGAGTCATCATTCGAAATTTATTTGCAGCACACGCTATTTACATTTCGCTCTGTCAATTTGAACTTTTCAACTCGTTTGACTGCAAATAATAAAGGAAAAAGAACAGAAAATAAATTGTAACTGGAAAAGTCAAACAAATTGCTATCAAGTTCGTCATTAGCTTTTTTACAGCTGAATTCCATTTATTACTATTAATAATATACATTTTTCTTCTTCGCTCTAATGAGCTGCCAGCTCGACAGCTTTCAATTGCGTTCACCGTTCTATTAAATTTGTTGTTGGCCCAATTTGCTGACGGCTCGTTTTTGATTGAATGGGTTTCCATTCATTTGACATTTGACTTACCGTGACGCGCTTCCTCGCCCTCGGGTGCATGTTGTGTTATTGTATTGAGCTCCTCCTCCAAGTCGACATGACAATCGGATACGTCCCAGGAGAGGAAACCTGCAAGTGACAGAAGCAGAGTGCAAAAACAGCAGGGTTTAGTCTCATATAAAAAACCATCACAAAAAGGACTTTGATATAAAAAGATGGAATCGATTTATTTAATCAGCTGAATGGCTTAATAGCCGATATCAGCGATGCCAAAGTTAAGATTAGATTTAATTTATTATATTTGAGAGTTTGTAAAGAAAACTTTTAAGTCATATTGAGCCCTAACATTAGATTTGGTTGACTTAAAGCTTTTGGATCTTTGGTACGAATAAACTAGTTGGAAGCTTAAACTTAAATAAATTATCTCACATAAAGCTTATAGCTTTTCAGACATCTTGTCTTGCTATGCTATTAAGCTTGTGTTACCTCTAGCTTTTTAGGCATACGCAAACATTTTAGAGGATTTATTTAAATTAAATGAATAGAAGCTTTAAAATGTATGTTGATCAGCTTTAATTTACTTTCATTTACATAAATCTTTATGCGACAAGCTTCAGCTTTCAAAGCACATCAAAGCTTTTATCAAGATTATTCCCACAGCTTAAACTCTTTAGACTGAAAAATTTCTCAGCTAAGCTAAATACGTTGCCTTTGGCAGACCACAATTTATTAATGAGGCGTTAAACGTCGCATATTTAATGACTGGAATTACTTTGCCGTTAATTTTTATTCATTGGGCAATTAAAGCAAGCTCAAACAAAATTGCTCTTATTAAATATTAATATTGTTCCTACAATGTTTCAATCAAGCTTTATGCGTTTTCTTTTAAAGTCTTATGCCTTGTAGCCATAACAACTGATGTTAATTTTCATTGAATTTTAATAGCCGTACTAGTTTAATTATTAGGCAAAGTATGCATTAGCATAGGCTCGTATTTCGCAGGTTTCAATGATAATTGCTGGCTTGCAACTGCACTTATTAATTAAGACATATCCTTGGACAGACATGAATGTGCACGCTGGTATTATGTTCGGAAAATAACAATGCATATTATTTACTTTTCTATTTATATTAGGGCAATGCATATGTAATGCACAAGTAAATACGTAGAAACTTTATTCGCCAGTAGCGCTTGTTGACTAGCTGTCATTTTGTTGCTTAAACTTGACGCTGGCTCATTTATCAAAGAGCGTATATTAAATATACGTTTACCTTATAGTTTATACTTCTTAATTTATTTTACAATAACATAATGTGTCTGTTGTTTTTGTAATTTGTTGGCATTTTGATAAATGGCCAACATGAGAAAGTAAAACGCAGAACGCAGCACTTGAGGCTCCTTCTGCGCATTACGCATACGTCATGGTGTGCACACACTCAAGCACATTAACTGTGTGTGTGTGAGAGAGTGTGTATGTGTGTGAGTCTGGAGTGTTGCCTTTATTATTGTCTTTTTTCATGTCCTTGCTTTTGATATTTAGTTGGCTCGCATGGAATTGCTTTATGTCTAAATATAGCTACCCCATGCCAGTGCCAGTTGGCCTTTTTAGTATTATGTCATTTAGTAAACAAATTAAGTCAGCCTTCATCTACAGTGAGTGGGTGGGTGTGCATGCGTGTGTGTCGGTGTCTATGTTTGTGTTTGTGTATTGTCGTATGGCAGGATACTTCAGCGCAAGTATTTGCAAATACATAGACCAAAATAGTTGCCCCACCAGACAAAGAAAGTGCATCATTAGCATTTATTTTCCTGTTGCCATGTTTAAACCTTTCCGGTTTTATTTGTACTGGTCAACTGCAGAGCTCTCCAATTTGCACAGAATAAAATAAATGTTTAGTTGCTATTTAATTTCTGACAAGTTTGCTTGCATTTGTAGCTGTTGTAAGAGCACTCGACTCCTAATTGCTGAATGGCCTTGCTTCTTTTTTAAATATAGTTGGTATATGTACATTCAAATAGACTCGTACTGTTGAGTCTTATTTGCGAATGTTTTCATTTTACCGTCTCGAGGCATAACTGCGAATTATTTCCAAGTCACGGCCGCTTTCGCAATTTAATGAGCAGCAGATACACGAGCATTCGTACTCCATGCCATGAATTACTTATTATAATGATGCCTTAATGAGCGCTTAACTTTCATTTTTTATGCCGGAATACTCTAGACTGCCTGATGTTAATGCGCATAAAGCTCACACAAATGAAGCTGTCAACTCAGGCAACGTGTTTGCCAGGACCACAAGGCATAAAAGTTGCACATACAGGTTGTAATCTCTTCTTCTTCTTCTTCTCTTTTTTTCTTCTTGAACCTGATTGCTTCATACCATTAAGCATGAATAACCATGTGAACCATGTGAAGACAAGGAACACGTGCGATTTTTAAATGTTGAAGTGAAAGTCTTAACTTGAAAGACATCGAATTTTATTACGCTTTTTATAATATATAGGACAGCCGGAGTGCATTGATGTGGAAAACCAGGTTCCCGAATCAAATCTAAAGCGGGAATCAGGTTCGAGTTGTAAACTTATTTTTTCTTTTTAATGTTTATTGTATTGTATCAAGCTGTAAACTGGATAAACGACAATTTATCTGGAGGTCTTATAGAGCAAACGTTTTGGTCTCACCTTAGACATCCACTACGTTTTCATCTAAGGTCGTTAACACTGTGTTACCCAATTTATTTTTAAAATATTTGCCTATAAGCATTAAGTATTGCGTGCTTAAGCAAATGAGAAAGTCTAACTTCAATGTAATTAATTGTCAACTTTAGCGAACTGTTTCGAGCAAATTTCTTTTCAAGTGTCTTCATCATCAGATTCAATAGCCAACCAAATCGCTGATGTCGCTTGGATCTCTAAGCCCAGTTCAACAAATGGTATTATTAATGCTGTTCCTGCTCTTGCTGTTGCTGTCTCTTCTTCTTTCTCTTTGGCTGCACACTGTTGAGCAATTTGCACAAATGGCTGGCAACAGCAACAAAAGCCAATGGCACAGAACAAAATTCAACAAAAAAAATTAAAAAGAAGAAATGCGCATAAACAACAACAGCATGCGGCATAAAAATTTAAAATCTTAACACTTTTCACACACACACACACACACATATAGAGGCACATGAGCCGGATCGGAATATTGTGCGGGCAAACAAAAAGGCGCAACAACAATAGGGATAAAGACGGAAGGGTCGTGGAAAAGGCAGCACCCAAAGCGCCTACAGCGATTGCACAAAAATAATGAGGAAACGCGCTGGATGTGCGCTGCCTTACATCCACACACATACAGGGTATGTGTGTGTGTGTGCATGTGTGTGTGTGTGTGTTGGACGCTCTCTTGAGCAATCATCTGGCGAATAAAGCCACTCAGACGCTGGGAACAGAGCTCGAAACGTAGCTCGCTGTCTACGGCAGAGTCTGAGGCCAGGTGGCGCCACAGTGCCTTGATGCATATGTGTTTGTGTATGTGTTCGTTCGCACAGTCATTAAGTATTTATGCGTTGATATCTGCGAGTGAGTCTTCAATTTTTCATGTGCTTCTGGCTTAGTGTGTGTGTGTGTGTGTGTGAAGCTGCTACTCATTTATTTATATAAGTTCTTGCACAGGTTCGCTTCAATGTCAAGTGTTTAATTTGTAACCTTTGCTTTTCGGAGCTGCTTGTTTTATTACTGAATTACACAATCAAATGAACAATACGCTACTCGTCTTAACTAATGTTATTAATTTTAATTAAGCTACAGCAATTCTCCTTGATTAGTTACAATGAATTACAACAATGAAATGTAAGGGCGTCCGACTGAGCGACACGTCTGTTGCAATGTCATCAAGAGGCACAGATATTACCAGATTTTATATGATCCCATATTGATGAGTTTGGTGCCCGGAGAAATTCGGAGATTTCAGCTTTGTATACTGTACGAAATAGTAGATTTTGTGAGTTTGACTCATTAAATGGCAAATTATGCTCAAAAAACCTCAAATGAAAATCTCTATGTATCGATCTTGATCTGCGCAAGCAATTCCAGCAGCTACCTTTCAAATTTCAAATCTTTAGCTCTTACTATCTCTAAAACAGATAAAGTGACACTTGGTAAGACGTGTCCCTATCGAGTGGACACTTTTTGTTGACCAAGGATTTGCTGTCCAAAGTGTCTTTTGCAATGCGCACATTATTTTTCTGGCAGTGAATTTCTTTGGCTTGCAGCAACAATACAAAATTGTATCATCAAGTCATTGTCAACAGCAGCTGACTAAGCCAAAATGTATTGAGTCAATGTCAACAATAAGCCAAATTTAATAAGAGCAAATAATACAATAAAGCTCGCCTTAAAGTGTTTACTGCATACTTATACTCTTGCACAGGCTATTATAATTGTCATCGAATTTGTAACGCATAGAAGGAGGCATATCTACCTACCCACCCAATAAGGTAAGTATACACTTACTTATATTATTGATCAGTATCAACAGCCGAGGCGATATAACAAAGTCTTCAAACTTTGCTTAGATTCTTCTTGCCGTTGCGGGCGGTTTGTGAGAACCACTATATCATTAAGTATATCAGCCGTGGGATCAATCGATCGAAAAAAGAAGTTCTTTCATAAAAAATTTATTTTTGTTTTTCAAGACATTTAAACCAAGCCTGGCACTTAAAAATTCTACTTAGCTGCTTACATTTGAGCTAAATCTTATTAAGTTTTATTAAAAAATAATCGGTAAAAAAAAAATAATGCGAAAAAAAATAAGTAAATTTCAATATGCTCCCCGCATGTCCACAAGAGTATTCAATCTTCTGCTTGCCGAGTATATATTTTTGTTCATGAATAAGGCATCCTTTGATTATGATAAGTTTGAGGCTTATTTATATTCAGCTTCTCTGTTATCCTTTGCGTTTTGTCACATAAATCAGCTTGTGCCAATTAATTACATTTCTTATCGCCAATTATGAATCGCTGTATGCGCTAAAGTTGTTGTCTTCATCTCACTTTCTCTCTCTCTCTCTATCTCTACAGAGACTATCTGCAGCTCGTGCACTCGCACTCGCTGTCGCAGTTGCTGTGGCCTTGGGCCTTTGAT